AACTTCATGTATCTTTATAATTTTTTTTAAGTGGTTAATATTTCTTATGTTATAGGAGATAAATTTTATCTCATAAACACTGATAAAAATGTGTGGGACGCATATGGTCCCATGTAAATAAAAGAGAGAGAAAGAAAAAAATAGATCTCATACATTTGTGAGTGTGTAGGAGATAAATTTATCTTCTATAACATAAGAAATAATAAATCATTTTTATTTATTAATTTATTAATATTAGCTACTTAGTGAGAGTAAATGATCATTCAACAAGAAGCTAGCAATACTAATTACAAATTTCTTCTTAACTTAATAAATGCAGGGGGAATTAAAATATTGTTATTTTAATAAAAATTACATAAATATAATTGTTTTGGACCAATTTACGAATTTATTGCACTCGGTCACGTCTACCATGTACGTGCCCAAGAGACACACCTCTCCTGGAAAGTTTGAGTCTGCAATGCGGACTTCTTCACCAAGCAGTGCAAATATTTTCTTGATGAAAGATTGTGATTCGCTCTTGAAATGATTGATGAATCAGCAGTATGCTTGGGTTTTCAATACCCTTGTAGATGTGGTGAAGTTGAATATTCTGGATTATCTCAGTATCATCAAGCATCCTATGGATTTGGGAACAATTAAAAGCAAAGATAGCTGCAGGAGCATACACTGGCCCATTGGAATTGTCTAATGATGTGAGGCTGCATACCTTTAGCAAATATTTTGAAGTGAGACTGCCCAATTGCTTTTGATTGAAAGGCTTCAAAAGAAGCGGTGTTGGGTGAATATGTGAGATGGGTTTCTGAACAGGATGGATAATCCAAATCCAAGCACACCAAAAGAGTAACAAAATCTTATAATTACAGAACCACAACAAAGTTTTGTGCAAGACCAAAATTCAAAGTTGACAATACCGAGAGATGTGCGACCTAACACACACACACACGAAAACACACAGCTTCAAATGAAGACAGAGGATTCGTCAGATTGCCCCTTTTCTTTCTCTTTTCGTCATGCCTAAATAAGGGCGTGTCTATCTCCTAGATAATATCTAAATGGGATGTGTCTGGTTATGCCTACATTAAGCGTGTCTCTCTCCTAAGTCATGCTTGAATAGAGTGTGACCATGTAAGTGTTTTAAGCGTGATTGAGGACAATAAATCAGTAAATTGATTCAAAAAAGTTATGTTTTTGTAAATTTTTATTAAAATAATAATATTTTAATTTTTTTTGCCATAAATCTAGTATATAGTTTTATTTATCATTGCTTATCGTTAATGTGAACAAATAACAACATAACAAAAAGTAATATATAGTAAATTGTAAATTGCTTTCTAATTTCGTGTATATAATATACAATATCGTTTATAATAAGCTACTCAATAAGCAAATAGGCACTCATTAACAAGTAATAATAACCATTAGCAAAATTGTTCATATCGGCATCTTTGTAAATTAGGTGAAATGGAATGGTTCTTCTCTGTAAAATTTTGTTTGATCTTTCTTAATAATTTAAACATCTCCTTATTTTTCCTAACCTGAAATCAATCGCTATAAAATAGATTAGAGTATTTTCTTTTAAGATTAATTTAATCTCTTAATTTACTATCCCTAGAAGAATTAAATATGTAATTTTGTACTTTTTTAACCTTTAAATTATAAATCAAATTCTTCTTGAATTAACTATGCATATCTTCTTTATAAACTTAGACATTTTCTCTTTTAATGTACACTTTAGATTTACATGAATTGATTATGCACATCTATTATAATTTTAAATATATTTGTTCAAATTGTACCTAAATCTAATAAGGGGATTGAAATTCTTATGTAACGTAAGAATTCAATCCGTTCCTGAAGATAGAAAAGAAGTCGCTTTCAATTTTTTTTTTCTTTTTTAAACTTTCATGGGACCCATGCTATTATGTTTGTGCAGGAATGAGTTGACATTTTTATGTAACATAAGAAACTTTTAACCCATCTAATAATACTCCTAAAATACACGATATTTGGTAGTTTAGAAATATTTTTGTAACATCAATTAAGTTTTTTTTTGTAGATAACTTAGAGGTATCTTCATACAACCTCCTTTAGCCACCTTATTTTTGGTGTACGGTCTCTAAGATTAGTTCTTTATTAAAATAAATGGTGCATTGGATTGCTGGTGTCAAAAGAATTCCAAGAATTTATTTTGACTAATGTTTGAATCCCTGACCAAAGTAAACCCTTTAACACTCAGTTGTCAACTGAGCTACCCATATCCTTGGGGGTTCATCAATTAAGTTAGCAACACTTAAAGAATTAATGATGTTTGAAACGGAATTAATTCAAAGAAAAGGAAATTGGAAAACTTAATTATATTATCCTGTCCTGAAATTGGAGACATGCATGAATTTCTCAAGACCGGCGGTAATTAATGGGAATATATTTTACCGAAAGTATAAATAATGAAAATCAAGGATATAATTTTATTGGGAGCGTCACGTTAATACACATTGACATTTGACATTACACTAATTCCTTCCTTGGAAGCACCACTTTCGGTCTCGTAAGTTGAAAAAGAAGTAAGAACCAACCATGAACCCAAACCGGAGAGAAAATTTATGTATTTTATATCATAAAAGGGGAATATACTTTTTATATTGTATGAGAAAAAATTGTTTAATGCACACATAAAAAAGTGGGTGGGAATATTCATTCTTTTTTCTTTTTCTTTTTTTATGGGTCTCATTCATTTTTTTTATATACATGAAATAAAATTATCTCATACAATATAAAAATGAAATAAAATTATCTCATACAATATGAGAAATGTATTTTATCATATAATGGCTGAAATCAATAATTGATACTTTTCAAGCTTCATAGGTTATATTAAAAATGTATCCCATGTGTATCCAAAAAAAAAATGTATCCCATGAAAAGTAATTGAATTATTATTTTATTCGTCAAAATGTATATTTGATATTAATTTTACTCTTTATATATTTGTGAAAATAAATTAATTTTTAAGATTTAAAATGAGTTCAAAATACCATTACGTCAACTTTAATGTAATATTAATTTGAATCATTTTGATTTTAGTTTAAATATTTAGACGACTAATTTGTTTAATTTTGTAACAAATATTCAAGATACTAAAATAATGTCAAATGTATTTTTTAAGAATGAATATGCAATTTTAGTTTTGAGAAAAAAAAAATTGATATACAAATCATAATTACCTCTTAATTTGAGGCAAGTCGTCTCCGATATTTGCACAAAGATGTATTTATTGATAATCGAATCCAAATTCTCTTCTCACCTACTCAACTTGTGTTGAATTTTTTTTTTAAAAAACGTTTCTCAAAATATATCAATTATTAATTGAAGGGTAAAGATAGTAGCTGATTCAGTTAGTAAAGCCCCTTTATGTGCGTATTTTTAGGTAATGTCAATGAATTTTTTTACTGATTAAAGTCTAAAATAGTTCCCAAATTAACTTTTTTTTTAAATGATCTGCGTATACACTAAAACGGGAAACCAATACTTTTCTAGTGTTCTACCCTTAATTAATAAGCAACATTCTATTCCCAAGTCCCAACACCACTGTCCACTGCTACTATATAGTATATACCACCCAATTCAATTCTTGTTCTCTTTCCTACCCACATGATCTGGCTTGCCTTCCTAACTACGAATTTAAATCCTCTTACATTGTTTATTGACATAATAATATCATATTATGAAAAATAAAACAGAATAAATAAATTCTGTATAAATAATAATAAATTTTATTACAGTTAATTTTATTTTATTTTATTTTATTTTATCATTTTATATGCTATGTTAAAAATCCTGCATATCTGTGGTGTGCTGTGCACCCCAATTTTAAAATGGCATCAGATCCAAAGCAAATTAAACCCCGCGATCTTACTCCACCACACCACGTGCAAGTCTTCTACTTTCATCATTTATCTTGTATTGTTTTTAGGTTCGTCGTATAAAAAAGAAAGGTGAACACGGGAAGGCTGGAAACTGCACATTTGGATCCATGATGACATGGATAAGGGTGGTGGTGCTACCATTTTGGACACGTGTGTAATGATGACATTCTACATGGGAGGCTATGGACCCTGTTTCTTTTTTCGTTTCGACAATTCCCTCTGTCATTACTATCTTATTCTTGCCTTCTCTCACTGATATATTCATAACGAATATTATGTCACGTCTATCTATCCTTTTATGAGCAACCGTTAACAAGAGGCAAAAGAGAAAGGGAAATACACAAAATTAAGATTAAAAGCTACTTTCCTTTTTGCCTATTTGCTCAACTAGCTAGGGTATATATCTATATAATATATAGCATCACTTGTTAATTTACTTTAATTGTGGGCACACTATGATGACGATTGTCATGTGAACTGTTAAGCGTTCACTTTCAAGTAAAGGCATGCAATGACTCCTCAGTACTTCTGATCTATTTAAAAGATCAACGTACATATTAGCAACTTTTGATAATTGAAGATCAATCCAAAAGAAAATTACACTTTCAAAATATGGACCAGATTCTCTCATTAATTTATTTCATTCAAAAAAAGAATTCTACCAAAACAATGCAAAGGAGAACATGGTTTCCACTAATTAACCGAACATATCCATAAATTTAGACATATAGGGTTGGTCCATGGATTTATATAGTCCTTAGTCATATTATATGGTATAGGCCGTAGGTTCAGTTGCGGTGTTGTAAGCTTTTGTTAAAATTTAGTGCATTTGGTAAGCAGATACCTTCAATCATTAACCCGCGTAAGAGAGATGAGGAAGACTTAAATTAGTATATATGCAGTCATTTCTTTATGCGCCAGGCACATGGTCCCCACACCAAACAGGGGAATCAAAGCTTGGGATGGAGGGATATTCCAAAATTGCCTAATAAAGGAGAAAAAGAATGCCATACATAAAAAAAGATAATTGAAGCTGCGTAAAGCTGAAAAGGAAACATGCAGCCAAAAGGAAGCTGGAACAAAAGACACTTTTTTCATCGAAAATTACCAAATAACAATTAATGTTCAACTGATGAATTCTTCTAATAATGAATAATAAAAACAGCCCTAAGAATTAGCTGAACCCCTTCATTGTACTGGAAACCCTGAAAGAGACTGTCTCAATTACAATGCCGAATATTAGGACACCAATTCAAATGGAATCTTTGTGTTCTATGTGGGAAATTTATTTTCTTTTTTCCTTTTTTTTCTTTTTTGGTTCGCCTCATCATCTGCGGAAAGAAGGTTCTACACTTCTATCTATGAGTGCAGAGATTGTGTTGTTGCAGAAAAGCCAGCTTTGATGTATCCAACACGAAGACAAAGAGAAAGCAGTTAGCTGTACAAAAACCAACCCACCAGCAGCATCACCGTCTCTCACAGAAGTAGCACGCTCAATTTCGTTTTACCTCGTGTAAGGTTAGCTTCCTCACCAGTCACCAGTGTCCAGTAGGCAGCACTTTCTCTCTCATTCATGGCATTCAATGTAAACGAACCCACTGGTACCGACCCTCCAACGGCATATCTCTAACAATATCAAAGTTGTACCTGCAAACAAGGGAAAGTTGTTAGTTAGTTAGGGTTCGATTCTGGCTCCGCTACAATGCGAGTGGAGTCACATTCCTTATCCTGCGTCACACAAAACTAAAACTACAAAATAAAAATAAGAATAAAAATGGAAAAAACACTACTAGCTATCCGCTATAAACTTGGATAAACTTACTTCTCTGCAAACCGTTTTTGCTCGTACTTCTCAGCCATTGCAAAGAACTCTTCAATCTCCGCCTCTGGCGGCGTCTTCACTGCCGGAAAATTCCGCTGCTCGCTCGCCGCCGCTGAAGATATCGCCGGAAACATCGTTGATTCTTCTGAGTCTCCAGAAAGCTCACTCAACAAACTGAACAGCGAAGATGGAAGAAAAAAAAAATGCAGGTAGCGTTTAAGTGGCTAAGTTTAGTTAGGAAATTGTACATGTACACGGAGAAAGAAATTTGAACTGGAGTTTACCTGAACGATTTGAAATTGAGGTTCGTTGAGTCTACAGTTTCGAAACCCTTGGTCTGCAGCTGCAGGATCACATTAATTCACGAATGTAAACAAATACACATAAAAAAAATTAAATAGGTTAATTAAACACAGCGAGTCGAGTAAGAAAAATAAACCGAAACTTGAATAACTCCGGGATCGTTTGGCAACCAAGAAAATTGGGACAGCCAAGTAGGAAAAAATTAAAACTCCAACGGGATTTAAAATAAAAATAAAAATTCCGAGCAGCCAAATGGAAATTATAACATACTGAAAACCTGAAGAATGCGAAAACGAAAGTGTTCATAAATTCAGAATTTCGAGAACCGAACCTCCAGATCTAACGGCTTAGTTTCGAGCTCCTTAACGACTTCGCCTGTTTCAATAACATAGGTTGAGCTGCAGCAAGACAGCGGGGAGCGATCCGAGTAAAATTCACCGGAAACAACAGTGCCGGTTGAATTCACTGAAGTTTCCGGCGAGACGGTAATGTCTGGAAAGTCACCGAACGAATAATGAGAGTTCGAGAGGTACTGCATATCCGAAAAGTGTAACTGCAACTCACGCGAAGCAGCAGAGTTAGTTTTCCTTTTCTTGGAGATGGTAGTTCCGCTTAAAGAAGCATCCTCCATGGCTGCAATTGTTGGAGCACAGCGTTTACAATCATCACCCATTCTCTTCCTCCTTCTGTTCCTTACACTCTCTCTCTCTCTCTTTCTCTATTTGCTATTTTTAGATGAGGCAAGGCATAGAGAGAGAATAAGGGAGCGAGATGGAGGGAGCTTAAAAAGAGGGTGATCGCAGAGGAATATTGATGATGGTGGTGGTTCGATGGACGGTTCAGATTTAATTTATTAATCAACGGTGGGTCCTTTTGTCTCCCTCAACCATACGGGTACAACGTCATTGCGAGGATGACTGCTAAGTGCTACCATTTTAATGACTTTAGAGCCCTTGGCATTTTTTTGTGTGTTAAAAATTATTTTATATGTTTTTTTTTTAAAAAAAAACTTTAAAAATAAAATTAAAAACGGTTTGATAATTATATAAAAATTTTAATTTAAAAATTAATTAAAAGTTCAAATTAAAAATAATCTGATACAACTTAAAAAAAATTATTCCTAAAAGCTTTTGGTTTTTGAATTTTTCTTTGTTATAATTTTTTTTATTATAAGAGATTTTATAAAAAATTATTTGATTTAGTTTCTGCTTATAAGAAAAAGATAAATTAAAAAAATAACTCCTAAATAGGTATTTAGAATTATCATGTATTTTAAAATAACTACATTTTTTTAAAACTATCATGTATTTATTTAATATTTTACAAATAAGTTCACTTGTCATGTTATATATGCTAAGGACTATGAAATGAAGGATATTTTTTGGTTTTTTCCTAGTTGGTGGGTCCACTTCGCCAAATGTCGACACGATAAAAACGCTAACGTGTTGGTAAGCCGTTTTGCAACAGCCCATGTGAAACACTTCCTTCTATAATACGCACTAAACTCTAACACAATTTTTTATTTTTTTTTGAGCTTCTTTTATTTTTCTTAAACCAAATAAAGCTCTTTTTATCTACTGAAAAATAAAGCTCTTTCTGCTCTTTCTTTTTTAAAGAATTTAGATACAACCTGCATAAAAAAAAGTTCAATAAATCCAAAGATTTTTACTTGATATGCCAATAAAATCCAGCAATGCTTAGTTTAAAAGGTGACGCTACATAGAAAAAAAATACACGTATGACCATTTCGTTATTTAAAAATCACCCCCTCCCTCCTTATAGTTTTATCAGAATTTGTACTTTTAATTTTTTAATGAAAGTACAATAAAGGATAAAATAAAATAAGAAATCTTCCTATATAAGATTGAAACTCATATCCTTTTAAAAACTATTTGATAATTCAATCTCAAAGGATAGTTTAGTTGACAATTGAGTGTCCAATAACATTTTTTGGTCAAAGATTTAAATCTTGACTTAAGGGTCATATTCTGAGAACAAGTAGCTAAAAGAGGTTGTGAAAATACCTTCATCTAAAAAAAAAACTATTTGATAATTTAATGGGCAACTGCCATGGTACCATTATGAATTCAACATTTAAGGTGATTCTCAAATATTTATTAGTTGATAATTTTATAATTAATATTTAAAATTTATTATAGTAACTGTAATAAAATGCTTAATAACTCATTATGCATATTAAGTGCTGGAAAAAAGCATGGATATCAGAGTAATGTGTAACTGACTTTCAGAGTTAAACTATATGAATGACTTTCAAGTTTCATACGCTAAGAGTGACCTTATATTTCAGTTTCAAAATAGGTTTCATGGAGACATAATTTAACATTCGAATCTCTAAAATGAAGTAACTTATTTTCTCTACAAATGAATTCTTTTATTAATGAACTTGTTTTTAAATGATCAATATTAGTTTAAAAATAATTTGTTTGTTAATTATTTATACAAGTCATGACTTAAAAATTCTACCACTTTTTATAGGATTTATAAATAATTTCATTTTACATGGTATTTGCATATAGGTATTATTAATTAAGCCTATGCATGTTTAGATATAAAGAAATGAAAAAAGGTAAAACAGATGGATGAAGTGAAAATGGAGTAGATAATTTTTTATTTTTTTTATGCTTGATAGAGATTAGGGTACTCAAAAGTTTACTTTAATGTTCATTTACATGCTATAGATGTGATTAAATTTATAGAGTGAAGTTTATTTTTAATATTCAGTTTTTTTTTTATCAAGTAAACGTGAAATAAGGCTCAATCTAGATTTTACAGTGATTCAAACATATATATATATATATATATATATATATATATGAAAAATATTTATCTGGCAACTTGAGATAAACTTATCTCCGGCCATCCCAAAACTACGTCGTTTTGTTTATTTATTTCCTTATATTAATTGATTCATCTTTGAATGATTATGATTCCTTTTTTCATTGATTCATCTTTGTACGGTTATGATTTAGTAGCCGAAGATAACTTTATCTCCGACAGCTTGAGAAATGATAAGATATATATATATATATATATATATATATATATATATATATATATATATATATATATATAGGTAAGATCCTTTGACACCAGTATCAAATTTAAAGTTTGACATCTCATCTAAGAGTCATTAGATCAAAAAAGATCAACAACTTTAATTTGTAAACATATGACATTATTGATTTTTTTTATCTAACGGCTCTCGTATGTGTGTAATTCATATACCACTATTTAATTTCTAAGTTAATTTCTGAGTAACGTTTGCTATATGCCAGCTGTTGTATTAGATATATGCCAAGCAGGATCACGCAATAACGTTTCAATTAACCAAACCATCAATAATATATGTGATCTATCTTTCATTCTAAGCATATAACTTGAAGAAATTTATTTTGGGGCTGTTACAATGCCTATGCAGAATAATTAATTACCAAAAAAGAATTACAATATATGTGATCTATTTTTTGGTAAGTATTTTTTAGCGCCTAACAAATAACAACCATTCAAGACCAAAGAGCATGCTTTTATTGGTAAAACAAAAAATGAAATTGATTATCAGCATAAGCATATTTTGATATATAACTGATACTATCAATGAATCATAAATAACGAGATAATTGTCCAAGTAAATAAATAAATAAAAACTGAAGGGGGACAGACACTTCTCTCTTGTATCCTCAATACATAAAACCACATGTGAGATTTAATTCAATTTATTTTGTCCTTCTATCTTTGTTAGCCAGCCCACCATATAGGCTCCTCTGAGTTGGCATGCCACATTTTTTTCATTTCTATTGCCATATTTGCACCCACCAAGTAAATTAGGCCCACTCATGGTTCCAAGTATTAGCTTTTATCCTAATATTAAATTGTAAGTGGGGACAACAACAACAACAACACTTGGAGTTACTGTGTTCAAATTCAAATCTTGCAGATTCAATTCAGCATTGGTATGCCCATGCAAAAGATACATGGAATGGACCTCTTTGCTGTGACTCTGTTATTAGAAAAGACCGTTCCAGAGTACTTGTTGATGGCCACTCTACCCAACTTGTGCTGGGAAGTTAGTCATGCCTCCTTATGACGATTTTAAAGCGGATGGAAATTTTGGAGAAATTTTTTTTTGGTTTTGTTTCTTTCAGCCAATCGTCGAAGACTAATTCTTTCAAGATGAGAGATCATATTAAGTGGATCATATTAAGTAGATAAATCTCTCTTGACAAAAACTTTTTCATACATATGGCCGGTCAGGGATAGTAACCCCTAATTCAGCTATCTATCAATTGTACCGGGCTTTGTTGGTGTTTTGAACAAGTTTTAGGTTCGCCTTTAAAGTGCTCTGTAACAGCTTTAATCTAAAGAAGGGGCAGTTTATGTTTTGTAACAGCTTTATTACAGGCAGGAAGTAGCTATAGTAGAAGCAAAAATTCATGGTGATAAATAAGGGTAGGTGACGTATCTTTGTTTCTTTCGTTCCTTTTTTGGTGAAAGGTAAATTATGTATATCAAATGCCTGAATGTCAATAAATTAGCAAGGTGTAATGTTGTTTGTACACCAAAACTTATTATATCACTATTTTATATATGAATTACTAAGATATCGCATACAATGAAAAATATATCAGTGCAAAAATTGTTACCCGTTCTGGAAATTAGTTTTGATAACAAAAAAAAATTAATGAAAATTATATAAACTCTAATCCTGTGACATCATTATGATACGATGTGGTGTAAATCATAACATTATGAGAGAATCTTTATTAGAAAAAAAAAATTGTTTTAACACAAGCAGCAGATGGAGCAAAAGAGGGGGGGAAAAAAAAGGAAAAAGAAGAGAAAGTACTCTGCTAATGATTAAATTGTAAGGTTATTGTTTACAGAGAGTAGATGCAGTATGCTAGGGATAGTGGGGACAATCTATTAACAGTCCTTCCAACGAAAGGGAATGGTAAAATGGGTAGATAGTAACAGTGATGCACAGTAGGTATCCTATTGTCTTGTATGGCTTATATTGAAGTTTTGAACAGTTAAATACTAACGAAGGACCTTGAAGTTTGAGCTAACACCAGCGAAGGTGTTACTGCTATTAATTGCACCGTGCTATCATTTGGTTTATTTTGTTCTAGGAGACTAATTATGGTTGGTCAGGAGAGAATATCAATCTGGGTCCAATTTGTATTATACTCATATAGTCATATATCGTTATACCCAGAAAAAGAACAATGCCAATGCCAATGCCAATGATTTTTCAGAACTGAGATGGCATCATAGAGGCTTTGAAGATTAATCAAGAGAGTTGTGAAGCTTTATGCTTTTGTACTTGCATTGCATGAATTCATCCTATAGTAGTTAAAGGTAAAAAGCAACTAGAAAAGGGCCAATGAACCAAAAATGGGCAAATCCGCAAACCTCGCTGGTGGAGGGTTGGCAAGATTACTTTCAGTATTCAGAAAAAAAAAAAAAAACAATAAAAAAAAATAAAGTAAAGAAAGAGACAAAGGATGATTCCACAATCCACACACAGGTTCTCAAGGTAACAAGTTCAATAATGGGGGTTTCTATATTACATGTATCAAAAGATTCAAAAGGAGGACAACAAAGTAAGCTTTTTATTCACTTTTCGTTATCATTATTTACTTTATTTTCTTGAATCTAGCATTTCAAATTCCTTTTATTTTTTATTTTTTATTTTTTATTTTTACTTAGGTGAAAATT